GTTCGTTACTGGCACAATCTAAGTAATCAGTTGTTTTTCAACAAATGTCTATCCCATCCTGACCAGAGAATTTTGGATGACTGAATCTCGTTGTACTAATACATACCATTAATAATTCCTGTTGTCCAAAATGTTCCAAATACAACAATTCTGTTTGTGATCATCATGCACTATATTTATTGTGTACATGAAATACAGAAAGTTAGTTACTCCGTTAGTATATAAATTCTGATCACATTTTCACTAAAATTATTCATAGAAGAAATGTTTTATTGAATACCTTAAAAATATTCTGAGAATCTTATATTTTTGTCGTTTTATAATTCGACTTGTAATTTTTTAGTCTTATATAATTTATACTCCTTTTTGTATAAACATTTTCTTCATTTTATTGTTAAGGTTATACTGGGCGTCTTAGAAATTCCTGGCATCGCTCTTAGTATTTACATTCTTCTAAAAATGGGACGAAGATGGCCGTTGGCACTAACCTTTGGCGTGTCCGGTACAGCCTGTCTAATTACGCTACCGATTCAATGGTTCATGACTGATTATGATGTCGTGGTGACAACTTTCGCAATGATCGGAAAATTCACAATCAGTGCATCGAACGCTATCGTACCCGTTTTCACCGCAGAGCTTTATCCGACAGCGCTACGAAACGTTGGAGTGGGGGCTAGCAACGTTTCGGCCGGTGTATCGTTATTGCTCATACCGTATCTGTGGGAATTGGTGAGTATTTTCTATTACAGTAAAAGTTCCTTATTCACGGTTTCCTTATTTGCGTTTTCATTATTTGCGGGTGAAAAAATTGCAACCCACTTCCTGTATTCGCGGCTAAAAATTTCATTATTTGCGGATGCAATCGGTAAACAGAAAAGGATTCGGTGTCATTTATTAAGGAGATTGACCGCATAGACCGCTCGTGTCTACTGTGAATTTTTCCGAAAATATGGGTTTCTATTCTAAACATTTAAGGCTGCGAGATAAATATCTGATTTTTTGTGTGGTAACAGACAAAGGTTCACACTAACTCGGCACGTGTTTAGTTTTCAATAATACGGTCATTAAAAGCTTTTACAAGTTCTTAAAGTTGATGCTTCTTGCAGGATACATATTTTCAATAGAAATTAAAAAATTAAAAAATGGCCTTCGACAGGCTTTAGAACAAAGCGTTATCTATCTTACTACAAAATTTCAAACCACCGTCTCAAACATTAAACTCATGATATCTAGAACCAATAAGCATGTTTTTACTCTACGGCGAGTGAACTACCGAATCCCTTTTGAGTATGTACTGTTGGTACGAGGCAGCTTTTATAAAAGATGTAACCGAGTAAACAGAATAGGATTCGGTGTTATTTTTCAACATATCGGCATCTTTTAAGTACTGTTGGCTCGTGCCGTGGCGACTTTTATAAAAGATGTGACCGAGTGGACTAATTCAAAATTCAGAGCAAGAAAAAATCACTAAATTTTTTAAACCCTTGTCTGAAGCNCAGAATAGGATTCGGTGTTATTTTTCAACATATCGGCATCTTTTAAGTACTGTTGGCTCGTGCCGTGGCGACTTTTATAAAAGATGTGACCGAGTGGACTAATTCAAAATTCAGAGCAAGAAAAAATCACTAAATTTTTTAAACCCTGATCTGAAGGTGATTATAACAATTAATTTTAATTGCGAATTTCTCAATAAATTGATTTTATTCTGATACATATTGGTTTTATTTTGGAACCTTAGAACGTATCCCCTATTATGCCATACTAATTACCATTCCATATCCACGGTTTCTGTATTCGCGGCATATTTATGGAACGTATACCCCGCGAATGAAGAACTTTTACTGTATTTATTTTTATGATAGGCATCATCACCTCGATTATCAGTTTTTCAACATACAGGGTTTCTAGGAAGCCTGTCTACATTCAACATGTACACGCATGGTGTGCCTTTTCGGACATGAACATAAGAATAATATAGAGATTTAGTATAATGTCATTACAGGCAAGGAGAGTGAAGTTTCTCGGGAAAGATGGGTGGTACCGATATAATTGTGCCTAAATCTTATTGGCTACACTTCTGCGCCTGTTCATTACTTAGTTAGAATGCATTTAAATGCAGATTGAGTTTTGTTGCATATATTGAAAATTTAGAAATACAAATTGTTGATAGTTGTCGAATATATTCCCACAAAATTGGTCAAAACTAAATTATTAGGTATATCATGGTAAAATTAGAAAAATTAATTTTAACGCCATAAATTTTTATTTTATTGAAATATCTCAATTTCAATTTTAAAATTTAGTCTTGTAAAGTTTTAAACTAACAAATCAAAAAACTTTCATGCTTATACCATGACTATACTTACGATAAACTTGCATGGAATTTAATCAATTTTTTTCTAATCTTTCGCGACGACTTTCGGCTACAAGTAAATGTGTACGTAATTTTATCGTTTTACAGGCAGCAGTCCAAAAATGGATACCGATGAGTCTATTGGGAATACTGGGAGTCACTGGAGGTTTTTGCACTCTCTTTTTACCTGAAACAGGTAATGCCCCATTAAAAGACGTCTTAGACGACGAATCACACTCGGCATCGGTGCATAGCTTAAGAGATAGCCAAGATATTTCAGAACTTTAGTTTTTAGCTCACAATCAGTACTTGCCGTAAAAAATATTTTTACATTTTACTATACGTTTGTACAATTGTCGTTAAGTGTTTGTTAGTAACTGTAATTGTCCTAATAAGTTAATGATAATTAGTTGCAATATTTGCAGCAAGTTAAATGTGTAAATAGGTCCTGTACTATTACTTGATGATAACGGCTTTCGGGTTGTCCAATATTATAGGTATTATACGTACATTATTATCACATATTCTGTTAATAGTAAGTCCAAAACGGTTCTTAAGGTTTATACTGTACATATCTACGTCAGCCAACGATTGTAAAATTAAGTATTTCATGCCTATAGATGCATTTAACTACGTAAAGATGATAAAAACAAAACATCAATAACACAAATGCATTTACAGATAAAGAGAAATTAAAATTTTCACAATACGTCAAACTAATTTTTAACCTTTTTATACAGTGACCAATTATTTAGTTATCGGTATTGTTAATCGATTTGGCTTTTTAATAATGTAAGTGATTAACCATTTCATTAAATATCAGTTTAGTTTATTTAATAAATTCCTTCATACAGTTCTGAAAGGTCATAGTAATTGCAAATTGCTAAATTGATTATTAACGATTTCACTATCAATTGATAATTCGGCTATTAAATTCACGAAATTATAATAAGAATGATCTGTTTCTTTTTTAATCGTTTGAACAAATGGGATATAATTTCTACACATAAGACATGGAGAAAATGAAAAAGGGAAATTTACTTAAATATTAACGCGATATTTACAATTTATCCCACTATCCCGTTGCTTCGTAGGCGAAAATAATAAAAATCACAATTTGGACCCGAATTTGTAAAATTAAAATTCCAGTAGAAATAAATTTACAAGGTATTTTAGTTGATATTACAAATTTAATTGTAATAATTAAGAAAGTTGAAATAATTTTTAAAGAAACGAGTCAAAATCGAGATTATTACAAGTTACCTAATAAATTCTACTATATATTTCTACGGCAATCAAAAATTGCAATTTTTGCATCATCATCATCATCATAAGGTCATCAGTCCTAACACTGGTTGGACACGTACCTCCACTCTTTCCTATCCTGAGCTAAACTTCGCATTTCCCTAAAACTAGAACAGCCCACATCCTTAACTATTTGCGANTATAAAATAAGCAGTTGTTGAATCATCTGCACCATTGTTAATCAATTTGGTTAATAATTATTCAGTTTATTTACAAAACGGCTAGGCGATTCATAAAATTGAAACGTTTGAATTGCTTCTTCTTACATAACAGTTTAAAATCATTTTTATTATCTTTCTTATACTAAATTCGCTCAAAATAGAAAATAGATTGTTCAATTTAATTTAAATTGAAACTCAACAGCGATCCATAATATTGTTTAAGTAGATGAACTTTTTCATGAAATATTCACTGGATTTGGCAAACAAATATTTTTCTTTTAATTGTAAAAGTGCGAATTGTGTTGTTTCTTGTTTGTGGAAATTATTATTTTCGTTAGATTAGTATAACAATGTATTATTACGATTAGGAGAGTATGCGGCAAGTGGTTAAGATCACGCGATCTTCATAGATATTGTACAATACATATGTGTATAATTATCAATGATTGAGTGATAATATGGTAAAGTAGTAGATATAAAATTACTGTTAATTTTGCTGTGTAAGATGTCTATTCTCTAAGTTACCAATTTGTTTTTTACTCTTCGTTCTTTTTTTTAATAAAAATGTGTAAGGATAAATAAATGTTATTTCACACATTTCTGTCTTTTCACTTAATTTTATGCCAATTTACTGATTAAAAGGAAAATTGGTATAGTTACTTATACACTGTTAATCCAGTTGGTAGAGAATTTTCCTAACATAAACATGTTACCGGACGGGAATGAATTCCTTGTTGTAGCTGGGGAAAAGTTACGCATTCCTGTATATTTATAAACTTCAAACAAGCGTGCGTTAACAAATGAGGAAGGTCCAAAGTTAGCAAAAACTAGGTTTTTATATCTAGAAGGCAAGGTATGCTTTTTAGAAAGATAACTTTCAAATAAAAATTGTAGAGAAATTATTTAACCTTTAATTTGAGGCGAAGTTCGGACAATTTTGTAAACTAGTTATTTCAAAAAACCAAACAAAATTAAAAAAAAACATTTCTGGTATATAATTTATTGCAAAAATTATATTTTGTGGTAATATCAGTAAAGTTGCCAATCAAATAGTAAGCACGGGGTGTAGACTACTATTTATAATCGTCACACATGCAATTGACCTGTCTGTGTACCAGCTGTTACGGAGGTCACGAGTAGGTATGAGTGTTTCGTAGCTTTACGCTTGCAATAATTCACGACTGTTCTCAATCACTGACGGCTCGTTAACTGGAGTGTTTGTGCAACGTAGGAGGTGTTGCGGCGGTATCACAAGATGCTCTATACTGCCTCCAAATGTTACCTTTCAAATATTTCGGAATACTGATCAGACATAGTGTACATAAGTGTATAATTTTTGTTTAAAAGTTTTACAGTCAATATCCCTAAATTTTCAAAAATAAAAGCTCTTCTTCGACAAGATTCGCAAGATCTTCTAAAGGTTTTTAAAGTGAGAAAGATGCCCACTAACACATTCGATTTTTGACCAAAGTTGCCAGACCTAGGAAAAATTTCCCTAGATCTAACGAATTTAGAGCCAGCTTAGGTAAAAGGGGATTTTCATTCAATTCATAACAATTTAATTTTTGTGTCAAATGAATTCTTGTTGTTTAAAGGTTATTGACACTTTTCTTTTCACATTTCGCATCTATATTTACACTGAACCTACTTAGGCACTGATTGTGCCAAAATTCGAAAAATTTTTATTGGTGCTTCTGAGTTATTTTGATTATGAAGAATAAAGCTAAATTTTTAAACAATCCCTATTTTTTAATAGATCTATACGAAAAGTTATTTACACACCCTTAAAATAATGACTTGATTTTGAAAGCGTTCTCAATAGATTCCAATAGGAAATGCTTGGTGTAGGCGATGTACGCCATAAATAAGATTATGATCTGTCACTCAATTAACCGTAAGATTAATGTTTTAAATCAAGATCAAACCAAGCTTTCGATTTTTGTTAGACATTATCATACATGTGATATATTACAGATTTAGTTGGTACTAAAGGTCACAAAAAGCAAAAAGTTATTTAGCAAACTGGAGAAGCTTAGAAACAATTATCTTGAAGATGTAATTGCTCGATATCTTTCACATTTAAACCAGACCAAACTGAAGCCAAACAAAAATTACCAATTTCCTTGTCTTTTTTCCATTAAACACAAAAAAATAAATTAAATCTAATATGAGATTGATTTCACATCGTCACCGCCCTTCATATACGCAATATCAGCCCTGTTTTAATACAACCTTGTTTTTGCTTCTGTGCCGACAATAATCAATAAAGGAAACCGGCGACTGGTTGACTCCACTTTCCTCACGTCAGTCGCTTTCTCCATTTCCCAATGGAAATATTACAGTCAGGAACGTCCAAAATTGAACGAAATTTTCATTATGTAAAATGTTTCGTTTTACCGTAAATGTTTAACAGTTGATATTTAGAAAAGGGGTGCAAAATGTTGGAAGGGGTTGTTGCGAGGTTATTTAACCAGTTGTTGGGGAGATATGTGGTGGATTTGGATACGGAAAATTTGAATGTTGGAATTTTTTCTGGACAAGTGCAGATGACTGATGTACGGCTCAAGCCAGAAGCTTTGGTATGTCTTTAAGATAACTTTTTTGCAATTCGTATAAGGAGGTAAAGAAAATACAAAATAAAATGACAATAGGAAGGTACGGTACGATTATGAGGAGTTTTATTGGGATGAATAGTAGACGGCTATTAAGAAAGAAATACCCGAAGAACAAGACGTTCATAGACTAAATATGATCATAACAAATATGCATTAAACAAATACGTTATCTGTTATTACTTTCTTATCCCTGTATATTGGGAGCTTAATTTTGATTTTTAAATGTGAGGAATTACAAATTTTTTAATCATTCAATAATGATATTGGTATGATGAAGATCAATTTAAATGTTGTTTACATCATAATCATCATTCTATGCAAAATACAGTTGATCTAACTAGAAACAATTTGAAATTGTAATGAGCAATGTTCACAGTTCTTTTGCATATAAATGGAATAGGAAATCAAAAACATAAGAAATTTCCGTTGGTATTGCAGGCAAATTGGAAAATAATGGTCTGTAATAAAGCCTTCATTATTATTCTGAGGAATTTCATTTTAATTCCATCTCGTCAAGTCTTTAATATAAAGTTCTTCTAAAAATAAGTTCAAGAATCAATTTACTTTTCTGTTTACTTCTAGTTCAGTATTGATTTAAACTAAAATAACCTTGAATTTAGAAAGTACCTATTTAAATTTCTCTACCCCACGCGACGTTAAGCTTAGACAGTATCTTAGTTATGGAAATGTACGAAAGATTTCATGATACGGATCAATAAGATCAAAATCGCTATCCAGGTAAGGAGTTTCGATAAGTTACTGACGAAGAATTTAATGTTCTTTAATAATTTGGTTACTTGTACATTACGTATATAGGTAACGCAAAGAGTTCATTTCTTTGTGGCCATATCTATTTGAAAATCTCACCTACTTCTCTGAAAACTGTCCTAAACTAGCCCAACTTTCAAAATCTTTTGAATAAAGCGGAACATCTCTCAAAATTTGACCAGCCTTAGATACATTAGTAAGGACCTTGTCTAACATATAAAATACTTCAGTAAGCGGCAGATATCAGTAGATTACGATATATGTATTGCCATAACTAGATATTGTATCAACTCGCTTTTAAGCAGTTCTTTCGGTCTCGTCGGTAATTTATCGAGACTGGCTGAGGCGTGCTGATGGGAACTAGGGAATATGATCGAAACCGCGATCTGCGTTCAACTGCTTCTATAAATTATTTACCAAGAACTTGTACTATCTTCAACCTTTAAAACATTTTCAACATTTTAGTACGAGTTGGAACTACCCATAGAAGTAGTAATGGGTACTATTGGAAAAATATGGTTGCAAATACCATGGAACCGTTTATGGTCGCAACCGGTTGTCGTGAATATAGAAAACATTCATATTCTGGCTAAACCAATAGTCAGGTTTGAGAAGTACGATTCGGAAAAAGACAAGAGGCTTTTGAGGGCGTTTAAAAGGAGAGCGTTAGGAAAACTCGACAGCGAAGGATTTAATATAGGAGGACCGCAGTCCTTCGCGGAACATTTAGTTGCAAACATTGTAAACAATATGCAAATTACATTAACCAATATACATATTAGATATGAGGATACGGTTAGCGTCGAATATCCAATCGCTTGCGGATTTTGTATTGGCAGCATTTCTGCAGAACCTACCAATAGGTAAAGTAGAAATTGATTTCGATCTACTTCCAAATATATGTAATATGACTCGCCACTTTCCCTCTCTATATAGTGTATTTATCCCTATAGATATAAAAAGTATACTCTGATAACATTTTCTGACCCAAGGAACTCACTTTTTAAAAAGGACATTCCTAAAGGTGTCGCTAAAAATTAAAGATGATATTTATAAAAATTGTAAGTTACATAAGGCCTGCATTCCGAAGGCTGATTGGACACACACCTTTACTTGTTCCTACCTTGAACCAATCTTCGCATTTCTCAAATAGTAAGGATAACTACATCTCTAACGATTTACGAAATGTGTTTATTTTTTCAATATGCTTCTAAATAGCGTCCATGCCCGAGGTATCTGACCAACCCATCTAGTCTATGTACTTCTTCATTTTTAACCTCTTCTATCCACGGCATTTTTGAAGATTGTTCCAAAACATTAAATATTCTTAAAAATTATTGAGGATTCTTTAAAGTATGCTAGTAAATAATTAGATAGGCTTCTTACTATCTCAAGAGTAGATAAATTTTTATACATAAAAAAAAAGTAATTGGAAATTGGAAAAGAGTGTCATTCAAAGGAAACGTACTAAACCTCTTTCTGACGTGGTTGAGGTAGTAGCGTGTAAATGTGATGATAGAAGTATATGCGAGCAAAGCCATGATCATAAATCACTTTTGAAAAGATATGACGCTTTTAGAATAATTTTACAACTGTATTGCAGTAAGTGGAAAGCTTGTAAAGTAAATGAATCTTCTACAACGTGCTACTATCTGGTAAAAGTAGAAGCGTTATATACATATTGGAACGTTAATATTACGCCTCCTGATTGGAATTTTCCTTCTGATTATTACACGTGGAGGAACAGTATGGCAAGCAGTATGCAGAAT